GAATGATTGTAGGTTCTTGCTTCCTCATCCCCTACCATGTAATTACTCTCAAATACCCAGGCAGGGTCAACCACAGCTAGCTGATGATAGGGAGCACCACAGGGTGTCTCATGGCACGGCACTGTTCGGCTTYCCCTCGCCTCYGTCACATCCCACACCCCGCTTCTCATCACTCACTGCCAGAATCAGGTTTGTTTTTTAACAAATCTTTGTAAGCCTCGCAGGGAATCCTTGTTATCTCTGTTCCCATATTCCAACATTCTCTTGACCCATAATGCATGTTTTTATTTCACACAGCCTCACTTATGATTTATGACAAATGAAGTTTAGCTGTTGTGCTAATTCCAGCGCATTTATATTACCGTAATAAAATATGGGTGAATGGTCATTGTCCTTTTAAATAAATTAATTTAATAAAATTAATCATGTGATCTAATGATAAAATGTAGCTGACTTGTCTACTACAACTACAGTTTCTTTTTATCCATGTGTAATGTCATATAAAATCCAAGCATTTGACTGAATCTCAGAAGACAGTACACCTCAGAAATGATTAGGCTGCTTCTGCCCTCTTTCATGTCATCAATGTCTCATGGCCAAACATCATGATTTTACACCCTCTTTAATGCTGTATGCATCCGTTCACTTGCTGCTCCGGGCCTTCTGTGCATGTCTTTGTTTTTATCTTCCCAGACAAAGTTGATACAATATCTGGTGCTCCAGAGAAGCTCTGGTTCTTTAAGGTGTCTTGGACAAAATCTTAACATTGTCTTTCTATTCTTGAAGTTGTTGAACGGTTTTCCACATGTGAAGAATTGTTTGTGTTTGTGATGAACGTTTTTTATTTCACTGGATATTGTGAAAGGAAATTTGTTTCTCATAGAAATCATCTTGTGGTCATCCACAATTTTTGTGTTAGTGTGTCTGTTTCCAAAATATTTCCTAAAAAACTGAACACATTTAAATTAAAACTTGCAGAAAGTAATCATTAGACGGAGACCTGTAACTGATTATGTATTCACACCAGGAAGGTCCTTTGGTCCATTTGTTTGGTCTGGTGGCCTGTGAAGTCCAAAAAGGCCCCTGTTTCCTGTAGCTGGTTCGGTTCGAGGATAGTCTGTATTCACATCAGAAGCGAACTGCATTAGGAGTGTGTTTGGAAGCGGACTGAGACCACCTCAAAAATGAGTCTTGGCCCAGTTGTTTGATCCGCACCTGGGTTCACAAGTTTATTCGCACCTGCATAGAATCTGGACCAACAGGGGAAACAAAATCCGGTCCGTTTAAAGTGGACCAAATGTGTCAGGTGTGAATACACCCTAAGTCAATTCAATTTAAGAACTAACTGATATTGAGCTAAAAATGTCACGAGTCTTTTAAAACACACAGGGATGATGTCTCAGTAAATTACATGAGTTTGTTCGTATCAAGGTTTGATTAAGTTACAATCAATTTTAGTTTTTAAAATGGCAGGTGATGTGAATTTCTTTCAGAATCCTAGATCTTCTTTTATATTTTGTATACATGCCTATTTTTTAAAGCAGGGGTGTCAAACTCATTTTTACTGAGGGCCACATGAGCGTTATGGTGGCCCTTGAAGGGCCAGTTGTAATAAACTTTGACGTTTCATGTTTAACTTTGACTAAACAGTATTTTAACATGTCCTCTTTTAAACACTGATAAGAACTAAGTGTACGACTGACTAAATCTGAAATAAATACAGAAATATTATTTAGTATGTGTTTGATGCTGACTTTAAGCAGCTTATTTTCAGACATTAATACTGTGCTATCCAACTAAATTGCTCAGTTACTTAAAGCC